AACTCTGCATTGCTGCGCCATCTTGTCAACACTCTAGTTGTTCAATAGCTCTATGGACTACTCATACAACAGAAAAAAACGTCGCATGGAGTTAGTGAAAAATGGAGATCTAAATGAAAAAAACGATGTTTTTCAGCAAGTATTAAAACCTTTTTGTTTTATAGGCCTTCTTCAAAATACCTATGCCACAGCAGTTGATTTTTTCTGCCGTAAAACCAAAATAGTTTTATGCATGCCAACTTGCCGATAGGTTAGCGTGAGCCCTGACTGAACTCTGCAGAAAATCCACATCGAACTTCGCATCGCGATGTAAAACAAAATGTCGGAAAACTTTTCTTTGACGCATGCGCATTTGCATAAATGTCTACACACATATGCACACACATACTACACACAATAAAAAACAAAAGAAATGTGAGAGTGATTACAATAGTTCCTATTGCATCACATGCATAGGAACTAATAATAATAATAATAATAATGAGAAGATTGTAATAAATAGATAAGTAATGATCAAAGAGAAACTTACTAACCATATACCGCACCAAAGACTTTTTATAGGTAATCCTGAAACTTGAGAGATGGTTTGTTTTTTAAAGAGTGTGAAAGACTCCCCCAAAGCTTAGGACCGGTGTAAAGGATTGAATGGCGTCTGGTATGAAACTCACATTTTTTAGCATAAAAATTGGTAACAGAAAAACGAGTGAAGTGTGAATGAGTATCAGAGGGTTTGTTAAATAATGAACTAATGTGTGCCGGAAGTAGATTGTTGGTTAAACGGTACATAAATAAGGCAGATTGTAGTTTATTAATGTCAAAGACGTTTAATATTTTCCAGTTAAAAAATAATTGTGTGGAATGAGATCTGAATGGAGCCCCTGAACAAATTCGAACTGCACGTTTTTGTAGGTTAAATATTTGATCAATTTTGGTCGTTTCAAAACTTGTCCAGGGGCATAAGTTGCTGAACTTATCCACCGTTACAGCCCAAGAGATATTACAATAAGATATATAAGGAGTGAAAAGGATAGTAGCGGGAAGTGTATATTTGAGTTTATTCATTATACCGACGTTTCTTGCCACCACATTAGAAATTCTATTAACATGAGGTTTCCATGACAATTTGGAATCAATTGTGACTCCGAGAAATTTTGTTTCGTACACATGCGTGATTTCTTGGTTATTTATAAAAATATTAAAGTTACGAAAAAGTGCTTTGGAGTTCCTATTTTGAAATATAATATAATTTGATTTGGATTGATTAAGGGATAATTTATTAATTTTGAACCAATCAGAAATCCTATTAAGCTCTGTATTAGTTGTGTCCATTAGAGTTAGTTTGTTTTTATGGGAATGAATGATGTTACAGTCATCAGCATAAAGGATAAATTTAAGATAGGAACTATTGGGAAGATCATTAATATATATTAGAAATAAGAGAGGACCAAGAATAGAACCTTGTGGTACACCACATGTAATCGGAGACAGATTGGAATTAAAAGTGGAAAAAGAAGTAAATTGTTGGCGAGCTGTCAGATAACTTAGTAAGTTTGAGAGGAAGGCCCCTGACACCATAATGCTGGAGTTTTTGGAGGAGAATATCATGATTTATGGTGTCAAAGGCCTTACTCAGGTTAAGGAAGATACCAACCGTATATTCACTGTTGCTTAAAACAGAAGTAAGTTTATCATAGAGATCAAGAAGTGCAAGTTCAGTAGAAAAATGTTTTCCAAATCCATACTGGTTTTTGAATAGTATACCATATTTGATAAAAAAAGGCATAAAGACGATTATAAATAAGGCGCTCCAAAAGCTTAGATAAAGTAGGTAAGAGGGAAATCGGTCTATAATTCGTAAAGTAATGGGGGTCACCTTTTTTGTATATGGGAATTACTTTGGCAATTTTAAGTAAGTTGGGAAAAATTCCCACCTGAAATGAAATATTAAAAATATGGGCTAGCGGTTTAGAAATGTGGTGCATAATATTCTTAATAACACGATTTGAATACCCATCAAATCCAGGACTTTTGTTTTCTTTCATATTATTAATAAGGATAATTATTTCATTATCAGTCACGGGATTCAAGTAAAAAGAATTTATAATTGGAGTATAAGAAAATCTTTAAAGTTAGAATTACTGGAAGGTTGTTCAATACCTTGTACAAGTTTATGACCAACATTAGTAAAATAATTGTTAAAATGTTGCGCAATAAGTGAGGGATTAGTAATTTTCAAATTATTTAGAAAATAATAAGATGGAAGATTGGGTTTATAGACAGCTAGTACATTATTACTGCTCATGTTTTTCTTTTTTATATTGTGTATATCTCTTAAATTAACAGAAATTTGTAATTTTCTTAGAAATATTCCTAACAATTGAAACTTTCCAGGAAATATTTTCCCTTTCCTTCCAGTTAGGTTGAATTTTTTTACCTTACACCTTTTTTCCTTACTATCCCTTTAATATCTATTTTCTTTTTAATATTGTTTCATCATTTTTCTTATTTCATTTTTGATACTTACCTTTCTTTTAGTTTTTTAATTGTCATTTTCTTTCCACCATTTTATTTCTTTCTTCTTTTTTCTTTCCTTCCTTTTGTTATTTCTTATTTATTATTTTTCATGTTTTTTTTTCAATTTTTAAAAATCTCTTCTCTTTTTCTTTCATGTCTTCTTCCTTGCATAATAAACCATGGGGACAGTGTAAGTGTGGGTGGGTGGGGTTTGTTAGGAAATAAAGAATAAAATATTGCGCAGCGCATATTATCTTAGGAGATGCGAAAAGGATGGAGAAATATGTGCTACTAAAAAAACTACTTGTGCTACCAAATTTCTTTTGGGGGGTGCCAGAAAATTTTGGCAGTGCTTCCAAGAAAAAAAGTTAATTTCAAGCCCTGTCTTGTGCGGCCATTTCAAAAAATGTTTGAAATTAATAACGATTTCAAATTGATATTTCTAAAAATTTTTATAATACAAAATGAATACCCTGCCGCAAAATGGACGGTTCTAAATCGCCCACGACTCAAGCACATGGGCTTCTCGTTCGTTCGTGATGTTGTGCACTGGCCGTGAGAGCGAGTAATCGTCTGTAGATCTTATGCAACGAAGATACAGAATATCAGTTATAAAATCAATTTAGCATTTGATTTGATACATGACGAGTTATTCTCTGTTCCTAAATTCTAACTGTCAACTAAATATTCATCGCTCGATTCGGAGGCCCTATAAAATAGAGATTTACTATACTCTGAGCCTAGATTGAAATAGCTGTAAGCTGTAGAATAGCCCCTGGATAGCCAGGAATGTGAGTAAACATTGCTGTTGTACGCCACACGATCATAAAATAAATAGAATAAAGGCTAGAAAGAATCGTATTCTTATATTTATTTAGGCCAGCATAAACACCAATACACCATGTCATTTTCAATACATATTTGTATTGAAAATGACCAAAATAACCATCTTTGTTTATTGAGAACTAATAAAATATTGATGCATCTTTCTGGTTCTCCCGATCACCAAGTCACGGTTTTACGTTCGCGAAATTCGTGAAAAGAGTAAAAATCCACAGACGTACAGCTAATCTTTTTTCATTATGGTCAGATTTTGGTTTAAAACATTTTATGTTTTAAATAATAACATTAGATTCAGAAATTGTGTATACTTTCTGAAATTTGACCATGATTGGAGCAGTACTGGCTGAACTGTGAGATTTTCTCCTACTACCAAGGTCTTGTTTACTCATTGTGAAGGCCGTTTAGGCTGCATGCAGGCAATTAGCAATCAATCATCCAACCCACCAGTGACCGTTTCTTCTAAGGGGAAGAATTTCGTCATGATGCAGTGTTTTTAACAAAAATTGAAGATTTTTATCCCAAAATAGGTTGTTGTGACCATAAAATTATATTTTTATTGACTAAGATACCAACTTGAGTACTATTCTTACTACATGATTCAATCACTATAACAGGGTTTGCGTTGTGTTTTGGGGGGTTTGCGGGGTTTAGCAATTTTTTATTCAATCACTATCACAAGGTTTGGATGGGGTTTGCAGTGTTTTTTTTGTGGTTTGCAGGGTTTAGCAATGTTTTTATACAAAAAATGGCATTTTTACCCAAAAAGTAGGTTGTTACAAACATAAAATTATGAATCTTTTTTTACTGAGATAGCAAGTGAGTTCTATACCAGATGATTCAATCACAATCACAAGGTTTGGATGGGGTTTGCACTGTGCTTTTGGAGGTTTTCAGGGTTTGCGGGGTTTAGGAATACCCCCATTTTGCACGTTCATTGTCACAACCAACAGTTAATTAATGAACTGGAACCTGGAGTCTGCCCCTGGACCCCACATCCCCACCTTCTAAATGGTGTAGTCACGCATTTCAAGTCTCTGAGGTTGGTAAGTATTTGCCTGGAAAATTTCTACTTTAATTTGCAATTAAGATGTTTGAAATTGGGAGATTTCAATTGTATGATTTTCTATGCTATAAATAATAAATTTGATACCTTAAACCTAAAATTATTGTGTTTACAGTACTGTCTGTATATTATCATCAACGAAAATGCATGCAAAGAGAGATAAATATTATAATTAACAAAGAATTTAAAAACCTTGCCTGCCCACTAGCCACCCCTGAATTTGTCAGTGTTTGGGTAATCAAAGATTTCTAAATTCATTTTGACCTGAATGTGTTACAGTATGTAAAAAGGGTTCGAAACCTGAAACAGGCTGGAGTGCCCATCTCCCTTACTTTAGCATTTGGGCCAGACTGTGCAAGGCTGTGGGGGCTCGCCATTCCTCTCGCACTGCAGTCTGTTTTACCTTACCAGCATATTCCAGTACACATTTATACACCTAGGTACAGAGGACACAAGCTACTTGCACAGCGAGAGTTTCGAACCCCTGACCACAAGGTTGAGAGTCCGAGCCACAACCATTGCGCCAACCGCCAACCATTACAGTATTTACCATAAATAAAAATTACTCAAAGTGACTTACCTGTCTTAAATTACTGTAAAGCATTTTTAAACACCCGAGTCCTGCAAGTAAAAGAAGAATGTAACTCAAATGAAATTGATAGTCTCCCAACTTTTAGCATGTTATAACTGAGACAGTGCCACCTTCAGGCTTAGTATACATAGTATAACCATAAATAAGCCCTCTGAATATTATTCCATTAATCATTATCATTAATAATAATTATTACAGTAGAGTCCGCCTAAGTCGAATCCAATGGGACTGGCATAAAAAGTTCGAGTTATACAGATTTCGACTTTGCACATTTTTGGAAAAAATTTAAAAAATATTAAAATAGAACAATACTATGTGTACTCAGTGCCCACAAAATTTGAATTTCACGCAAAACCGAACATTCCTATTCTTCTTCTTTTAATAAAATACTTTCCGAAAACATGAACTCCCTATTCCGAATCTCAGACAATTTGTCCAATTCAGGACGGTAACCCTCACTGGAAAAACCAGACGATAGTTAAATAGACATCATTTAACGACAAGCATAACAGACGCTGTAAAAACGAGATGTTTAGCTGTACTCGCATTGCCATGGAGATTATCTGTTGATTAACATGACACACCAGTAGACGTCTTGTTGGTTAATCATGAAGTGGAATTTAGCTACGCATTCCAATGTTTTAATAAGTGTATATTCTTTCTTTTAATCCTTAACCCTTTGAGGTCATGATCCGTATCCCATACGGAGTAATTTACTGTCCCTGGATGCGCGATCCGTATCCGTTACGGACCTATTTATAGTTACTAAGACGTTAGGGAAATCCCCTAAAAGGGTCAGCAACAGAGGGCAGCATTAGTAAAACAATAGGAAACAAGCCGGGCTTAGCGATTGCATAGAGCAAAACAAAAAAAAGGGGAAAAAAATTTTGTCAGTGATTGATGTACTTGGATAGACTAGGATCGGGATTGTTTATATAATAAATAAATAAATAAATAATTAATTAATTCATTCATTAATAATATAAATACTATGAATCTGAGGAAAGATTTTAACTAGAAACTTTAGCAGTGTAACCAGTAATGCTAGGCCTAGGTTTCCAAACGTTCATTTCGGGTTTGGTAATGTACATGGACCCCCACCCCTCTCATATTTCAATACACCTACCCCCATCTTCTCTATTATTATTATTATTATTATTATTATTATATTATATTATTATTTTATCAAGTGTACTAGATTTAGTGAAATATATCCTAGGTCCAATAGTCCACCCTAGTTAGAAATAAGCATATGCAAGCCTAGCTAGGCTTACTTGCCCTCTATCGGAAAGGGGGAGGGGGGCGTGTGATAGAGGCCATTCCCCAAATTTTGAACTCAATGACCTTTGTGACCTTGGGCATAAAAATATCGTCATAAATATGAAAGCATAATTTATTTTAACCAAACATTCCACATGATGCGTAACATTTATAGGAACTTTTTTTAGTGTCGTTTATGGGGTTTATGGGAAAAAAGTACCCTTTTTGGGCCCCTAAATTGCAATTTTGGGGCATATGACCTTAGACCTAGGTTAAAAGGTCAAACAATTTGCTATTTTATGGAAGCCCAAAACATTTTACCCAACAATCAAACCCAACATTTGCAGAAAGTTAGTCATAACAATTTATTATGCGTTTTTCAGAAACCTATTAAAACCCCTTAAGGGGCCCAAGTGACCTAGAATAAACCCCCTTGGGACTTCAAAGGGTTAAATACCATTTGGAATCAACCTGAAATAAAGACGAACTCAACAAAGCAAGTTCCAACTGGTTGCTCTTTTCAGTAAACGTCTAATTCAAATTCGTTAGATTCATCCGTGTAAATTGCAAATGCACCTCATTCATGCTTTAAACTCAAGACGCTTTTCAAAACATTTCCTCCGTAATTTAATTACGGAGGAAATTTGTAGAGAATAAAATCTAATTGTTAGGTTTATTTAGATTTGACTCTAAAATAATACCATGAGGGTTTCTTATTTGTTTTTTGTTTTGTTTATAAATTTGTTTAATTAAAACATTATTGATTATACCGAGCTTGTTACTGTCATGAAACTTTGGGCGATCTGATGTCATCACAGCCGAAGCACATGTCTAGTGGAAAACACCCCACGAAAATAGACCAATTGGCGGGCAGGCACAGTTTTTGGGGCGCGACTTGTTCTGTTTACTACTAGACTGCCAACCAGCAAGTGGCATTGCCCAACGAAGAATGTGTGCTTTGAAAAACATAATCAGACCTAAAGAAATGCACGCAAAAACAATATGAAAGTCGCATCAATTTTATTGGTAATAATTAAATTTGTTGAGCAGTACAGCAAAACAACAGGTACTATATTAAATAATGTGTTGAATTTGCGTAGGCTAGGCTAGGCCTATAGCTTAGACAAAAGAATCAAGGGCTTTGATAAATTAATTAAATAGCTAGGCCCTGACTACAACAATCTTGTTCGAAATGGGTTCAATACAAGTTCTACAAACTGAACTGGACGAAAAACTGAACATTAAAGCCAGTTCGGATGGGTGTCTGTATTGTGAGAGTACACTGCAACTTACAACATACGATCGTGTGTGCCAAGTTCCACAGCGCGCTGTCTGAGATCTTAGTTTTGACATTGCTAACTTGTTGCCATACAACAAGGACTGAACTTCGTATTTTCCCAAGGCTGTGTATTTTTCCCACATGTGCTACTAAATTTGGAACTTCGACTTGTGTGAATGGGCCCTATATAGTACAGAGAGTTGAAGTTTTGGATAATATATTGTTGGAAAGTAGATGGCCAGTTTTAAAATGGCTGCAGAAATTTGCATAGTTTATGCAAATTTAGACCTTATATATTAACAAATTACTTTCACTTTCAAATTTACACACTTGGATTTAATTATGGCATTGAATTATTAGTTGGGACATACTCTACTGAAATAAATTTACATTAAGCTCCTCCTATTGTCTAATGTTGAAAATTGCATTACTATATTTTAATTTACCCTCCAATTTTACGTCAGTTACTAAAAACGTCTACTTTCTTACCATACAATTAAAGGCTGATGATATTTCATAATTTATCTCTCTTTCCTACTGTATGCCTCAAATAGCCATGCCTATTCTTTGCAAATAAAGTAAAATATAAAAGTCCTGAAAATTGATATTGAATGTGCGTAACATCAGTTACTGTAATGTTTTATTAAGTCTATTATATATGACACTACTTATAACAATACTTATAACTTTACCAATCTGGATTTTAGGATTTTGGTATTGAGCTATCAGTTGGGACATACTCTGCTGATCAACTATAAATTTAGCTCTTTTATTAAATGTTTATTTTTCAAAATAATATCTTACCATACCATGATGGGCTGATGGTACTTAATAATTCCAAATAAAGTAAAGACATTCCTAATAATCTACATGTACAGTATGTAACGTCAATTACCATAGTGTTATAAGCCTATAATTTATATAGTAATTTACCAACTGGTGGCATTTATGAAGCGTCCATCAATAAGCTTTATATAATTTATCAAAACTATTAAAGTATTTCATTATTGTTCTGTTTTGTAGAGATTTAATGTACAATTCACTATTGGCTTTAATTGTCATTAGTTTATATCTTTTAAATTGTTATTTTGTAGTATATGTAAAATTATGTGATATCTTATTTTGTACTATTTAAGCCTCCTGGCTCAAATTAAGCACAGAATTCATTAATAAAAATTATAACTAGATTTGAACGTGTCACTGAGGACAAGTTACAGTAGGTGATCCGTCGCACTTTGACCCTCGAGGAAGTGTGCACGGTATGGATTGAACAATTTTTTAATGCTAAAAATGGCCTAAAGTATACACTAATTCAGTTTTTAAAAAGAATTTGGAGCATTTTAAAATATTTACTCATGCGTACATGCAAGCAGAATAATTATCAATAGTCCATATTTATGTCATACGAAGCCTTTATTTGAAAAACTAAATCTATTAAATGTTGTTGATCTATACAAGAAAGAACTAGGTATATTTATGTTTAAATATTACCCACATCCTTTAATAATATCTTTACTGATCATAGAAGTATTCATGGATACAATACTAGGAATAAAAATAACTATCGACTAGATATTCATAAGATTGAATCTGTATTTTCTACTGGACCTAAATTTTGGAATAATTTGCCAGAAAGAGTTAAAAACTCTTACAGTGTCAATCATTTTAAAACACAGATTTCTAAGCACATCCAATCTCTTAATGCAAGTTAACTTCATGGCAATACTGTGACTTTTAAATAACGATTACTTGTTCATTTTGGAAACATGTATTTCATATGGGTGGGTGGGTCTCTGTATCTGCCGTAATGTAATTTGTTTCGATTTTTGTGTATTTTTAATGTTTTTAATATTCTATATTGCTTATGATTGTCTTTTTGTTAAGGTGATACAACACATTGTCAGACCTTGCCTTTGTTGTATTTCCTCCATCTTTATTTGTTGTTTTATTGACGATGGAAAATAAAGATTGAGAGAGGAGCTCTTTATACCAGTGTAGGGCCCAAAACTAGGGAGCCTACGCTAGACCATTTTTCTATGGCTAGACCGAAGTTTTAAGAACAGTGTACATTTGGCTAGGTAGTATTAGTTAGTAGTAGCACTATAGTATTTATTAGGACTGATTAGATCTAGCCAACACTTTTATTAGGCCTAATAATATTAGTAATCTTTGTTGAATTGTCACCTTGCTCAGATCGTCATGGTCGAGCAACGTAGCAGTAAGGCTATAGTTGCTGCGAAGCAGCCAATTCATATTCTTGACAGCAATTTGACCTCTGAAAGGTCATTGTTTGTCAAAAAACAAGGGCCTAGGACGACCAAGGCAATTCAACAGAAGGACGCACATCTCAGGACATCAAAGGTTATAACTCTGGCATCGACATTCTAGGCGCACGTGCGTCCCTACACGCTGAACGTCACAAAAACCATAGCAACCAGGCCATAAACCGTCAGCGTACGTGACGATTTACTCACGCGCGTTAGTTG